ATGCAGGCTTGTTTTGGTCACAGCTCGTGGTATCGGCATCTTCCTAATCAACAAGTTATCACAGCTGAAGAAATGGTCCAGAGACAGTCGGACATCCTCGTAAGTATTATACTATTACCATAGCAACTGCAGTATTATCATTTTTAACCCCATCTACTTGTCTACTAGTCTGTTTCTCATGCATCAGTATCAATCAAATTTTGACAGATTCCAAGCTCCTTCAGCCAAGGATGCTTACGTCATTGCCAAATATATCGACAACCCTCTCCTGATTGGTGGAAAGAAATTTGATCTCCGCATCTATGTCCTTGTGACGACATATCGACCTCTCAAATGCTATATGTGAGTATTTGTCGTTAACCCTATTTAGAATCATGAAATCAAAACTCAAAGGTATTATAAGATTTCAGTGGATTTAGAGCTGCACCACACTGCACAAATTCCCGCCTTTCTATTGTTTTTCCTGTGCCACCGCTTTTACTGGCGTTTACTCTGTCAGCATTTTGCGTTTTGTAGCGTCATACGTGTAGTTGAGACCTCTTAATACCATCACAAGACCAATAAAACACCAACACAAGATCAATGCAAGATGTCAAGTCTGAATTCAGGCCACTAGTTGGTCAAATAAGCTGGAACAAAGGCATTCCCCTTGTCACTTTTCACCCTGTTACTTGTGACTGGTTCTTGTGACTGGTCTTGTGACTGGTTCTTGTGACTGGTCTTGTGACTGGCCTAGTGACTGGTTCTTGTGACTGGTCTTGCGACTGGCCTTGTGATTGGCCTTGTGATTGGCCTTGTGGTTGGTTTTGCGGCTTGTCTTGTGACTTGTCTTTTGACTGGTCTTATGACTGGCCTTGTGATTGGTCTTGTGACTTGTCTTTTGATTTGTGACTGGCCTTGTGATTGGTCTTGTGACTTGTCTTGTTTGTATTTATTTCTTTTGTCATATTTCAAAGACTGTTCAAAATGGTAACTATTGGTTTGTTTGCAGCTACAAGCTTGGTTTCTGTCGCTTCTGCACAGTCAAGTACAGTGCCAATGTGAACGAGCTGGATAACATGTTCATCCATCTTACCAATGTCTCCATTCAGAAACACGGGGTGAGCATCAGAAGTCAGAGGTCATAGGAGATTAAGTTTGTGTGCTCTCTTTGTTTTGTGTCATTGGGCGTGCCATATACACATTGTTTGAAAGCAGTGAGCCATATTGGTATTTCCAAAAGCCAATGTCTTTTGGTAACAAACCCGATGGTGTGCATTCAGGGTATGGCTGTGCTGATAGGGCAACTATCGTGTGCATTCTGCTGTTCCTGAATAGCCTCGTACTGGGCAAGTGCTGTTTGGAAACCAAACTGGCTAATTGACTTGTAGTCAAATTACATACAGGGGTTTGATTTGTCAGGATTTTTCATTAGGATTTTCCTGATTTCAGGATTTTTAAAACACACTGTTTTAGGATTCTGAAAGTCCTAAGTTTATCATTACTGTGTTTTTGCATTTAAAAAGGTGATGTCTAACACGAGAAACTGGTATTTTAAGGGGTGTCTTGAGGCAAACACAAACGTATACCATACACCCTACACTGCTGTTGGCCCCTCATAAACCTCCGGTGATCATTCTGTGGATATTTCTTTTCCTCCAATCTCACTCTTTCATGTCATTTCCTGAGATTTCCTTTCATGATAAGTTGGTATTTGCTTGCACAGGAGGAATATAATGCTCAGCATGGTGGGAAATGGACGGTGCATAATCTCAGACTTTACTTGGAAGGAACAAGAGGCAAAGAGGTAATACAGATTGTCATACATACATAGCTGGGTCCAATTTCATGGAGTTGCTTAGCAATAGCAGAAAAGTCGTGCTAACTTTAGCAGTAAAATTGCTAATCTCAGTGAAGTGCTACCTCAAGGTGGTGCATGGCATGGTTGTACTAAAGGTAGTGTGCGCACATAGAGATTCCTATTGTAACATCACTATGTTTCAGCCAATCTTCCACCCAGGGTTAGCATGCCTTTGGCTGTGCTTATTGCTTATCGTCTTCATGAAATTCATGGAGCCTCTGTTAGCATGATGTCATGTGCTAAGCAGCACCGTGAAATTGGGCCCTGCTACTGAAATGAGGATTTCTCAGTTGTAGGTTTTGAAGGTTTATTTACTTTCCGCAGAATCAACATTGGTCAATGAAAGATTCCTCTGAACCATCTCAACTGCTTGGGAGTGTCTGCCTTGAGCAGTAGCGTCCTGTCGTTGGTTGAATAGATCCATATTGCTGGGGAGGGCTGGTGTTGTTGGTAGCAACGCGATCACAATGCATGGATGTCATAGTCAGTCATGAACCAGTGAACCAGTTCCTACCAAAGGAGCCTCCGTTGCTAGAAAAATTGCCCCGTCTTGGTTCCAGTCAGGGCAGATAGGCTCTGTGACCCTTTGCAGAAATCCATGTATACTCCTGGCTGGGCAGAGAGAGGGAATGGGAAGATGGAGTGACTTGCCTTAGGGCCAGATTCAAACCCCAACCTTGGGGCCAGTTACAAACCCCAACCACTAGACCACACACCCCAACCTTGGGGCCAGTTACAAACCCCAACCACTAGACCACACACCCCTTGATAAACGTCCTGTCCAACTGAACTCCCCTGAAGGGAAGTAAAGGTGTGTTAAGAAGGTTTTTACAGGTTAAATGTGAAGAAAGTCTGGTACACTGAGTTATGCAATTGCATATAAACATGACAATTTGAATTCCTCAGACTAAAGACACTGTTGCTATACCTCATGATTCAGGGCAAGCTTTTGCACAGTGACCACCATCTCTGTAATGGACTGGTTCCTTTGTGCCATTCTTATTCATTGAAAGCAGTGTATTGTTTGTAAGGTGTCTCTTATGTAACTAAGCAAATGCTTGCCCCGAATCCTGAGGTATGGCAACAGTGTTTTAGTATGGAGAATTGGATTGCATGTTTGCCCAAATTTAAAAGACTCAGTGTACCAGATTTTATTCCAATTCAATTTGCAAAACGCTTATTCACAAAGAGAAATAGTACATGTATCTGTGCTAAACTGGGGATCATTTTGTTTCACTTCTTGGTTCAGGTGACAGATAAGCTTTTTGATGAGATGAATTGGGTTATCGTACACTCACTGAAGGCAATGGCAGTAAGTACCATATCAGTGTCTTTCCATATCTGTGTAGTATTTCTTGGTTGTAACAAAGAGCAAGCAGGACTCATTGATGAGAGTTTGTAACTCATTATTAGAAAGTCGGCAGTTCAAATCCAGCCACTGTTCATCTTCCAAGACCTTGGGGAGGCATTATAACCTCACATACATGTACAATGTACCTCCATCCAATCTGGAGTTGACTTTATGGCTGCATTTTTCTAGGGATAATGACCTGCTATAACCTTGCATCAATGGTAACCAGAAATATTCTTGATTAGTTTGTTTCACACCAAGGAAACTACAAAGAAAGGATTGTCATGAAGTGTATTGTCTTAAGACTAAAATGGCTTTTACTTTTTGACTTGAGAATAAAATAATGGGACTTTGTCAAAGAGGGGCCAATTGTGAAGGCCTTGTCAAGGTTTTTGTGATGAATAACGTATTGCATGTGAAATCCATATCTTGTTGTTTGATTAGGAATCATCACCAATTAGCTTTCTTTTAGAAAAATGTCAAGGTCTAGAGGACTTGACCAACCTGTCTAGGATTAAAGAGCCAACAGTTATTGGATCTAGTTGTTACAAACCTCATCTCAAGTATTCATGTTCTTTTATTTCAGAATGTAATGGCCAATGATAGACACTGTTTTGAGTGTTATGGTTATGACATCATCATTGATGACAACTTGAAGCCGTGGTTAATTGAGGTAAGTAATTGAAGTACTAACCTTTTGCCAAGTTACTTCATTTATAGGACCATTGCATCTCATTTTTTTTTATACTGAGGATTATATTGGGACAGTCAGCCCTAGTAGGCCCAGGTGTACTGTGTCATGATTGTCATGGTGCTTATACTAGTAAAAGGGATGTCTCTGGTTTGAAACCAATCTCAGTAAACCTAATTGGAAGCAATGGATACAAAGAGTTCTTGCATTTAACCACTTGATGCCGGACGACATGTAAACATCCGTAATTTTCCTTATTTGTTCGGTGGAGGATGTGTACACTCATTTAAAAATTCTTTTTTCTTTTCCATGTTTAACGAACCGTGCTTGATTTGATCAAAGCATTTACAAGGTTGAAGAATTTGCAGGTAAAAAATGCATCCCAGCAGCTTTTTCGGGTTAGAAAACCCAATGTTACTAAGAATCATATTGAAGAATCTTAACCCCCTCAGATCAATGCCTTAAATCAGCCAAAAATATTGGTTGAACAAAAAGTTGCTACTGGTAGCACAATCATTTTCATTCTCATTATCAGCTTTTAGTTTGGACATGTCCACCAAGATCATAGGAATACAAGCTCATATTAAATTACAAAACCACAGTGAAAAATCCAGTAATATTTTGGGGTTTTTAGCTTTAACCTTTACATTTCCTGCAGACAAGTGTTGTCTTAAGGTTGGACAAACACCAAAAATGGTCAGAGAATGTCTGACTGTAATTTTGCTCTCTTGCCTTTGAGGATTGTCCTTGGACTGGTACATGCCATGCCAACTTGTACATTTTAGAAAATGTGCTTTTGGTTCTTTTGATTGAATAAACAATGAAGCCAAGGGGACCTGAAGTGGACAAATAGGGAAACTACCATAGTATTTGCAGGTTTGTAGCACTACATCTGTGTTCCTGAAATTGCAGGTTCGAATCCCACTCAGTGTTTTTGGTTTTGTGTTTAGTCATGGATTAATGAGCTTTTTGTGTTTTTGCTGTCAGGTTAACGCTTCTCCTTCTCTGACATCAACAACAGCTAACGATCGTATCATGAAGTATAACCTCATCAATGATTCCCTCAACATTGTCATGCCAAATGGGGAACCCCCTGAGTAAGCAGACTTTACCTTTTGTGGTAGATTGAGCTTGAGAGTGTTGTTTATGTTTGTGTCCACAAGCAGGACACTTTGCTTCATTTCAGTGTTATTTCAGGTGTGTCCACACCTGCATGGGGATTGCCATGTAATTTTTAACCATAGCTCGAGAATTGAGGCTTAATTGTATTCTTGAGCAGGACCTCTGCCACATTTGCTGAAATGGTTTCTTTGAAAATCTTAATAATTCTTCTCCCCAGTTCAGGGTTAAACAACTCATGGCTATTAGATCTGAGTTACAACCACAGATGAGCAGCATTTGGTCCTCAAAACTATACAAGGACTCATAATTACATTTGGAAATAGGACTGTTGCTTGCATGACACCGCTATTAAGCCTTGTTTGATACTATCGTATGTTTTATATTTTGAAAGAGTGACATCATGCATATTTTTGTTAACACCTCCATAGAAACAGTTTCATGATAAGCAGATAAAAACAGATTAAGTAAATACAGAACGGTTTGATCTGTCAAACTCTTATGACATGTTGACAGTATGTGATAATCCTGGGTCAGGTGCCCAAATGTTGGGAAGATTAACATCATATCTTAAAACTGGTTGCTACAGTATACAAAATTAAACCAAACAAAACAGAGGTACATGCAGTCAATCTACACACCTGCTGTGTAAGTGGTCAGTGGGAGATCCATATCATTTTCTGATTTATTACGATCACTTGAAAGTGTCTGAATGTTTCATCTAGGATACCAGTATTGGTCATGGAATTGGGAGTTATGCAAGGTGGATGGGAATCTGTATTGTGTGATGAACAAATAATAGAATTGGAGTGTTTTCCTGATGTTAGGGTTCATGTCTGTGAAGATGATGCTGTGGAGTGTATTCTGTTTGTGAGGTTGTCTATATGAGAACTATCGTCAAATCTCTACTGCTTATGGTGTGGTACCACTGTTATGAAGCCATGGCCACTTCTAACTCTCCACAGTAGTGAGCCCACTCCCTTTGTCCAATTCTACATGCCTGTCGCTTTGTGACAAGAGCGTCATTGTGTGACAGGTTTTGTACCTCTCAGCTCTTGACTCAACCCCTGACTTTCAATTACCCACACTTGGCATATGACCTTTTCACAGAGCCATTAGTGAATAATACATGTAGGTACCTGTAGCAAAACATCCGCTGCATGTAAGAGAAACGCGCTAAAGGCTAAGTTAATCATTTGGCAACCATTGGTCGATTTTTGCCTAATTACCTATGCACAAAATTCACTCTGGGTACTCCGCAATATCAGTCAGTATTTGATATGACTGATTAGTTTCTGATCATGCAGAGAAAAAACCTTCATTTTCACTATTCTTACCGTCCTTTTCAACTTTACATCATTTAGTTTCATCAGAAGACGATGTCAGCCAGGAAATTTGCTTTGTCAGTGATTTTGTTTGTTCACAGTACATAGCACAAAAACAGGCATTCTTGTCTGTGGCCAAAGACAC